TATTTTTTCAGCTTTTAATTGCCGAAAATAAGTATTTTCAGTTTTCAGGGGGGTTTTAAACAAAAATCCAAACATTTTAGAGGAAAAGTTTTAATGAAAACAGGGGGGAAATATATTTGTCACAATATTTTCATCTGACAAATACTTCCTGACCAGCTGGAGTTGAAACAACAATGTATACACAGCTTCATAGCTTCCTGCATCTTTTCTCTAGTTCCATCCTCTTTTGACTGTCCTTGAGAGGCACCCACAAGTCTTTGACAATGTGTTTCTATTATTTGGCTCCATTTCCTGCCACAGAGCTCAGCTAGATACAGACCCATGGCTTCTGTACTGTGGAAATCTGAATAATAATTTCTGCTGCAGACAACCCCGGTGAATCACTGTTCTACTTTGGATTCCCGGGGGACACTGAATTTCAATAAGTTGGGAGCAACTGCTTCAGTAAATGTTTCCATTTATTCAATGAGCAGGTCAAGAAAGAAAAAAAATCATAAAAGTTAAACCAACAGCTCTGTATTACTGTCCCAAAGTCATTGTAATCTAAGCCCTCAAGGGATATAATTATTTTTTAAAAGAAATTCACTCTGTGTTGGATTCTAATTAAATGAAAACAATACTTAGAAATCAATGATTAAAGAAAACTAATTTTCATGTCATTATCTGTATGTCCTTTGGTATAAAGATATACATAAAGATATACATATACATATGTATTTTTTCTTAACTTTCTTTATATTATGTACCCATGTATAAACTAGTGACAAGCAGCACTATTACCTCAGAACAAAGCAGCCCTGAGCTTTTGCAGGATTTAAAATGTGAAGTCAGATCTGTATCTGAAGTTGACAGCTCAGGCCCCTCACTAGAAATATCATGAGCGGGGCACGAATTACAACCCCCATATACATAATAGGGTTTGTTGAATACAAACTGCACTAATGTTTGAGAGGATGTGAGGGGTTTGAATCTGATGGTCTGATCTGGACCCATCTCTGGAAGAAATGTATTTCCTATTTTCCTTTCCATATGACTCAGATCCGTCATTCGTAGTGACAAGACAATGTCCCTTCCTGCTCTGTGTCCACTCAGCCTTTGAACAAAACCAATGGTTTTTTGACTGTCTGAGAGGCTGACAAATTATTTTTCCCATTATTATGTGCTTCTGTGCCCCCCAGACCTTCTGACTTCTGGCTGGGACCTGAAACAGCACAGTCTTTCTCACGCTATTTCTGGCCGATGGTCCAGACACGACTGAGAATCACACAATAACGCCTGTTCTTAGGAAGTTTCGAGCCCAGTGTTTCAGATGTGAGGAATTCACAAGGCACAGAAGAGCCTGAAGTGTAGGTGATTCTTTGCACTGAATCCCAAATCTTCTGCGACTCATTCATTAGTTTGCTAATTCCTTTGCTGAAATCAAACCCTTAATTAAGAGAAGGACCGGAGGACAGCAGTCAGGACTGGAGTCCCCTGATTCTTTGCATGGTGAGGAATACAGGGTGGGATGCAGTGGGATAGGCAGGGAAACAGAAAAATCACATACAATTGCACTCCCTGAACATGAGGATATGTAGGGGTTTCCTCCCTGCCCCTTGAAGGTGCACACTGCTGCAGAGTCTAGGGGGCTGACAGAGCAAGATGGCACAGCTTACACGGTATCCCAGTGTACCAGGAAAGAAGAAGCATGGACCCTTTTAATTATAGGAGTATGAATATAACCATACCCAAATAGCTAACGTGGTACATCTATACATAGACAAACCTTTAGGGGAAAGGAGTCAAAAACCACCAATCAAATATTTGGGTTGCAAAAATCAGGTTTTCATTGTACATTAGAAATCTGATTATATTTCATCTTTGTGTTGTCTGAGGATCAAACATGCTTGGTCCATCCATCATAATCTAGATGTAAAACCTTTAGGAAATTTGGTTTTTAAGGATTTGAAGAAGAAAAATATCATTTACAGCAGTTTTCCTTGAACGGAAGGAACAGTGAAAGACAGCAGTGCAGTTTCAAGTTCTAATTGATTATTGGATTAATTAAAAGTGGGGCACCTGAAGCAGACAATATGGTTAGAGTTAGAACTAGATTTCTATTGGTAAATGTCAATGTTACTGTATACATTAAACCAACAAAAATATTTTCATCAATAATAATATTTCACAGATAGGCAAAGTAAGAAAAATGCTGTTTGCAAACTTATTTTTATTTTAAGGATAGTTACACAGTATATTTTGATACGGGATGTTGACAGTTTGTGTTTTAATTATTATAAAGCTTAAACTTTTTGAATCTCAGTGTCTACTATAATTAAATAATTATTGTCTGTCCTCCCCTATTGTCTAACTCCCCCATAATTCCTTGCAACTGTGAAAACTGAAATAGATAAAAATTGAAAAAATGATTGAAAATGAACATTGAATTTGTCTGTTGAAATCTTAAAAAATTAAAATTGAAGTCTGCTAAATCTAAGGACATGTCTAAATTAACAAATTTTGGTCACCAAAACCTGCCTTTTGGTGACAAAATAGTGTTTGTTAAGAAAAACACCTAGTTTCAGCAACAAAATCTTCTATTCCTATGATAGACTTTTGTCTTTTCTTCTCCATTTATTGTTGACAAAAAGCCAATGCAGACTGTGCTGCTTGTTTTGTTGATAGAGCTGGCTTCCACCAGTATCCCACAATGCCTGGCCTCATCACTCTGCTGAGTGTGATCTCTGCTGCCCTACAGGCCCCTCCCCTTTCAAAATTCTGGGAAGTATCTGACAGCAGAGTGTGCTGCTTCATTTGGGGAAAAAACAAATTAAAAATCATTGAACTGCTCCTGTTCTTCCCTGCTAGGAACACAGAGGCAGGCAGACTGCTACAGTAGGAGAGGTTCAGGCTGCTGTGCTGCTTTGACATTCCTCAGCAGGGAGAGCTTGCAGAGCTGATCATGATGCCACTCAAGATGCCATCTCAAGATGTTCAGTGATGAGTGATACATGCCCACAATGCACTGCTCACACTGTTGATGATGGTGTCCCCAGTGTGGTCATGATCTGTCAACAGAGGGAGTAAGCACGAACACTCTCTGGCACTTTTGTTGACTTTTGGGTAGCAAACATATGTTTTGTCAAGAAAACTTGATAGTGTAGACATACCATAAATCTAGGCAAACTCTAGAGAAAGTAGGCCAACGGAGGTTTTCTCTTGGTATAATTTTTGTCTAATGACTAGAAGTTTCTTCAAGCCATTTTTCATTTTTTTGGTAAACAATCACCCACTTGATCTTGGATTTTAGCACCTAATAAAAGGCTTTATCTTCGTGACAGAGGGAAAAACACAAATAGAGCTCAAACAAGGAAGTCTCTGTAATGGGTCAGGCCAGTTATGTGACCCCTTTTTCTCACTGAGAAAGGTCATTTGTGTTTCCCAGGTTGGTTTTATATTTTACACATATTTGTAATGTTCCCTCCACGTATCTCATTATGTCAGGGAAAATGTGCGGTTTTCATACAAGGCAGGATTTTCTAAAGCAACACAGAATTAGCTTATTTCTCCTCCCATTAGAGTGGACGATGAAGCTCCCATTGTCTTAAGGGGATCAGAGTTAGGCCAATGCTGAGCACTTATGAAAATCCCACCCTTAAATGTGTTGTCAGGTTTTACAGTGTCTCACTCCACTGAAATCACGCAGGAAGGGTATGTATCTAGCTCACGTTGTTTCGGTTGACAGGAATCAGTGTTCCTAATAAGCAGTGTGAGTGAGAGTTAGGACCCTTGGATTCTCTTCCTGTGTTTTGCCACTGATAGGCAAGGAGGATTATGTGATCATTCTGTATGTCTATAAATAAGGGTGTGTCTAGACTACATGCCTCCGTCGACGGAGGCATGTAGATTAGACAGATCGGCAGAGCGGGGCAGCCATTTAAATTTAAATGGCTGCCCCGCTCTGCCGATCTGTCTAATCTACATGCCTCCGTCGACGGAGGCATGTAGATTAGACAGATCGGCAGAGCGGGGCAGCCATTTAAATTTAAATGGCTGCCCCGCTCTGCCGATCTGTCTAATCTACATGCCTCCGTCGACGGAGGCATGTAGATTAGACAGATCGGCAGAGCGGGGCAGCCATTTAAATTTAAATGGCTGCCCCGCTCTGCCGATCTGTCTAATCTACATGCCTCCGTCGACGGAGGCATGTAGTTTAGACGTACCCTAAAATAGAAAATACCTGCCTATCCCACAGATCTGTTGTGAAGCTTAATTGACCAATAACTGGGAAGGGCTGTTGAATCTTGGTTCAAAAGTGCTTATCTACAGCAACATGTAACTAGGTTCTCTTACTGACATGGTCAGCTGGTATCATAAGCACTGGAAGGCTTTGCCTTCTCATGCTGCCTGACAAGTCCCTGCCCATGCTCCACCTCCAGGCTATCTCCTGCCTGCTGCTCTGTGTCAGAGGCTGGGCAGGCAGGCTGGGGGCTGCATCACTCTTGCTGCCCTCAGCCCAGCTCATTGTCCCAGCACTGGGGCTGCTCCGGATGCATTAACTGAAGTGGGGAGGCTGAGGCCACACTGCCTAGCTTTCCAGGGCTGTGGGAGGCTGAAGCCATGTTGCCTAGCTGCCCAGTACCCCAGGTTGGAGGGAGGGCTTTGGGGGCACTGGTCTGGGGCAGGATTATGGCCATAATGGGGACTGGGCTCCGGTCAGCACAAAAGGGGCTGGGCTGAGGGCTAGCCTTCTAAGGGGTTTGCCCACTGCCCATGCCTATGGAGGAAGTTTAATAAGCTCAATAGGGAGATGTGATGAAGAAAACAAGACACAGATACAGCTTGTGAAAAATGAATTTGACAACTTCTTAAGCCTCCTGTGTTGTCAAAAGCTAAAATTGCACATCTGCACTTGATTGCTGACGGGCCACCTGTGCTCAAGAGTTGATCAGAAGAACGAATTTTAAAAGAGCACAGCTACTTGGGACCAAAAAAAAAAAAACCCTCTTTATTTTTTGTAGACCCATAGATTGCTGATTGCAGAGCGACATGCTTCAAGCACTCATATGAACAGACAAAATGACAAGCAAGAAAGAGCCAGTCACATGGGAAACATCATCAGATAGACTGTTATCCAAAGGAGAGCAGAAATTGTGTAACTCTGTTGTGATGGCAAAAGCTGGATGATGGTCAACAATCTTTACATCAGAAATGTCATTTGAAGAAGAAGTAGTATACTGCAAGTGCCACGTATGTATATTGCATGTACAAAACACTTTTAGTTCTCCCCATGTTAGCAGCTCTGCTCTTCTTTGTGGCCACAACCCAGCCTTCCTTTCTTCCTCCTTAGCCATCTATGTGAAGTTGATTTCATTTAGCCATGTAACTACCCATAGCAGAGTTCATAGCAGAGTTTTACATCTAAATGAGTAATTGCCACTGCAAAAAAATGTGCATGAAAAAATGCACAGATATTTGCAAGTGACATTAATTGAAAAACACTAAGGAAATTTCTCTAACCTTCTTGACGAGAGAAAATCCTGCAGGCCCATATTGTTTGCCCTATCCTTACCATATACGTCTACCAAATCAGTGTTAGGATGAGCTGATAAGAGCAGTGGACAATAAGTGTGTTCTCACTAGTACCTCTGCAGGACAAGAATAATTCCTTTGACTTATATTCCATGCTTCAGATAGCACATGTCCTCATTCTGCCCAGGAGCAGTTCTCCAATGCAAGAGTATGAGGCTGCATGCCACATCTTCGTGGTCTCCTCCTCCGCTGCAGGGTGGTTGGTAGCATTTGTCCCTTCTGAGTATTTGTCTTTTGTTTCCTTTGTATGCTTGCATCCATGGAGCTACATGAGGTATTTGAGACTCCCTTCTGAAATGATGCTGACACATCCCACGCCATCTGATTGTGCTTTCCTGCCTATATATGTTCCCCACTGACCCTGCAGAACACATTTTCCTGTCTCAGATGGCTCCCAATCAGAAATAACCTCAATCTTACCTGTCAGTGCTGTTTTTTAAAACTTCAGTGGGGCCAGGATTTCTCCTAATGTGTCTAGAACTGGTGCATGCTCTAGTAAAGGAGCATAGGAAACAGAGCACCTAGATTTCCTGGCAAAGAAATAGAGAGAGGGGAACCTATAGTGTCTTCCAGCCAGCGCTGCCATAAAAAGGAGAACAGTCAGATTTCCTGGAGGACCTGAGTTATCCTGCTCCCCAGAGTGCTCAATAACACACAACAGCTCCTATTGCACACCACATACTATTGGATCTTGTGCAATGCAACCTTTCCATCTGTTTGTCGTTGGGTGGGTCCCGTGTGGCTTCAAGTTTGACAGTAATGCCTGAGCTGCCCCTGGCAGGAGAACTTAGCTCTACTGCATTTCTGTGCCTAGAATACAGAGCGAATTATATCTCCTGTTGTGACCCTAAAGAGCTCCTCTTTATTCAGATTATTTATTTGTGCACTGGTTCTTGAATATGGCCCTAAAGGTTGTATTTATACCCTGCACTAGGAGGTTGGACATGGCGAGATGCAGGGTGAATTATCAACAGTTTCTCTTTCTCATGCAGTCTTTTACAGCAGAGTTACATGCATTGTATCACTTTTGTAATTCTCAAGAGGTGTGATCTAGGAGTTAGGATGGTGGGGAGGCAATCTTAAATTTTAATTCATTGCCTTTACAAATTAATAAGAGCAGTTAATATAAACTAGGATTATCAAACCTATTTAAAAAAACATTCTGCCCTAGTTAAGGTTAAATCTTATAACCTGATTTTATTAAAAAAAAAGAAAGAAAAAAGATCGACAATCTCTGTCCATCCTCTATCTGAGAACTTCATCATCAAGAATATTTTTCACACCACTGGAAAACCACCTGATGCCTGATCCTACCAACAGTTAGTTGTGATCCTATTATATATTCTCTTTCACAAGTGTTCAGTTCATATCCAAGTCTCACATATGACTCCATATAGCTGCTAGAACATAGCAGTAGTCATATAGTACACCACTTTGGTGGGCAGATTAAACCACGTAAAGCGTAGCCAGGAGGGGAAATGCATGTCCTCAGCACACTAAATTTGGCATGGCAGACTGGATGGAGAAGACTGGTTCGACATCTAGAAGTGCACTGCAACAATGTATTGAGGACTAAGTAAGGGTTGACAGGGCACAAAAGGTGTCGGTGATTATCTATTGCAGCTAATGAAGTTCCCAGACATTGCAACTTTTGTGTCAGTGGCTTCTGACTTCAGAAACCAAGATTATTCCCACACAATGGTCATCTCAACTGAAAGAAAAAAAAATCCCTCACACAAGGCATTCTCAGGTCATTAAAGAAAGTCCTGCAGCAAATAGTGAAGCAAAAGCACCATGAGTGCTAGAAGTCATAGTCAGACACCTACAAGCAGGCAATCTCATACTCTGGTTGCTCAGCCTTGAATTCTGGAGAGCAAAGATGTAACATACTAGATGATATTAGGTAGGTCTACACTATGTGAGAAATTTGACTTAAGATACATAACTCCAGCTGGAGTTGCCGTACTTTAAATCAAATTTCCGGGACAACCCTGCCATTGGAGATCAATGGGAGAAACTCTCCTCTCAACTTCCCTTACTCCTCATGACTCTGTGGAGCACCAACGTCAATGGGGGCGCCTTCTGATTCGATTTGTGGATCCTCACTAAACCCTCTAAATCGAAACCCCCAACATCTATCTCCAGAGCATCAATCTCTGGGTAAGTATAGACAAGGCCTAAGCAGTATGTTTAAAGACAACACTGCTCATCCCAGAAAGGGAAATTGAAGGAAAAGTTGCCCTGAACATTCCCTGCCCAACTTTAATCTGGCTATTTCATCGTGACTGGTTCATCCACGTTCTATGAGAAAAGTAAGAGCTTTCACTGTTGTAATAAGGATCCTACAGACCCTAATGGATACCAATAATACATTAAAACCTGATAGATTTACAGCTTTATTGCAAGGAACTTACTACATACAGCATCAACATAGCTGCTTTCAGTGAAAGGAGATGAAGACCAAGACTCCATAAAGGAACTTAGAAAGTTGCTACATCTTCTTTTGGGAAAGAAGGCCAGCAGAGGAAGGATGAGCTTTTGGCATTGAAAACAGCCCAATTCTCTGAAAGAATTGCCTGTGTGCAAAAATGAAAGTCTAATGATTCTGCAACTTCCATTGGAAATTAATGCTTTCCAAAGGCTAACAGGCCTTATGCCCCAACTGTGAACAGAGCAGAAGAAATAAAATAACAATTCCATGTGGATTTAAGTGATATAATCAAATCTATACCCAGTGAAGATGAATTTATACTTCTGGAAAAGTTTCATGCCAGACTTAGAAAGGACAATGATGCTTGGCATGCTGTAATAAAGAACAATAGAGTTGGAAAGGTGAACAACACTAACCTATTACTTTTCAGTAAGTATGCTGAGTATGTGGTCCATATTGCTAACTCAATCTTCAGGCAAGCCAATAAATATAAAATGCAGTGGATGCATCAGAGATCAAAGCACTGGACCTGATTATGTCACCATGTGGTAAAGAGATACCAAGGACATCGAGATCAGCAAAGCAATGTGAGGAGAAAATGAATGGACTGACCGCAAGATGATCAAAGCCATTTTCAACTTACATGTTTTTACCCTCAATAAAACAGTGTGAACAGATTGCCTTGAAAAAGCAAATAACAAAATTGAGACATCCATTTCCTCAAGAAAAACTGAGGGAAGTTTTAGAGGAAGATTTGATAGCATTACATCATCGCCCAATAACACACTTGAAAAATGGTATATATTCAAATCAACCAGCCTTCAAGCTACAGAAACAACTGTAGGCAAAAATTGAAGACAGCTCTGAGTAGTTTGATGAAAAGAATGACGAGCTTATGTCTTGGCAAAATGACAAAGAAACAACATTAAAAAAGATGTATTCAAGTACCTGCAAGCCAAGGCTCAGATGGCTTAGTCTTATGCAGTATAACTGGTGGGAAAAGAAAGAAGAAGGAATACAGAGTGCCATGCTAGTACTACCCACACAGAGTTGTTTTATGACACCCTGAATGTGATTTATGGCCCATCAAATTGGGACCAGTTCCATAGAGTTCGGATGGGTTGAACTTGATCAAGGACAAGTGAGACATCTCTGAAAGAAGGGGGCAGCACTTTATCGAGCTATTAAACCATCCCTCTACTGTCAACCCTCAGATGTTAGAGGAATAAATCCAGTACCGCACGGGTGGTGAAATCTTCTAGTTACTACACATGAGGAAGTGCAAAAAGCTCTCAAACAAATGAAGTCAGGCAAAAAACAGAATGTCAGCTGAAATCTATAATTTTATAGTCCCCAAAACTGTTGGTTGTCTAGACAAAATTCTTAAGGACATCTGTGAAACTGAGAAGATTCCTCAGGATTTCAAAGATGCAATCATAGTCAAACTATACAAAATTAAAGGCCACAAAACTGATTGTGGCAACTACCAGGATGCCTCTCTGCTGTCTGTAGGGCTACGTCTAGATTCCATCCCTCTGTCAACAGAGGGTTGTAAATGAGGCACTTCCAAAATGCAAATGAAGCAGGGATTTAAATATCCTGTGCTTCATTTGCATAATTGTGTCATAGTGCTCTTTTGAACAACCGCCATTTTGAATGTAAAACCATGATCTAGACACGGTCCTTTAAAAACAGCAGGCTTTTTCGAAAGATCCCATAAACCTCAAAAAATGGTCTAGACTGTGGTTTTACTTTTGAAATGTTGCTTGTTTGAATCGCCGTGACACGATTATGCAAATGAAGCGTGGGGTATTTGAAAGTGCAAATGAAGCGGGGATTTAAAGTGCCTCATTTACATCCCTCTGTCGACAGAGGGATGTAATCTAGACGTACCGTAGGTGGTAAAGTCATTGCCTATATTTTGCTCAATTGGGCTGTCAAAATAGTAACAGAAAAGCTTCTATCAGAAATAGAATGTGGATTTGGATCAGGTCAGAGCACCACAGAAGGGACTTTCATTGTGAGACAGAGTCAGGGAAAAAAAAGAACTGTGTGCTAACTTAATTGATCTTAAACAAGCATTCCACACGGTGAGAAGAAAAGGCCTTTATCAATCATATTCAAGCAATAAAACTTTATGGATCAGATTTTGATGTCACACCAATGTAAACCTGGAATAACTCCACTGAAGTCACAATGACAATTACAAGCAAGTGGACTAGTGCACGTTTTTCATTTCAGTAAAACCAGCAAGAATAGATTGGTTTTGGTGCTGAAAATCATTAATTTTATATCCTGATGGAAAGACTCATTAGTTGCTTAACTTGTTTTAGAAATCCAGATTGAAGATTTAGATAGGCAGCTGGAAAAAGGAGTGGAGGGCTAGATCCTACTCACCTTATGCAGACTGAACTCCTACCAAAGTTAGTACAGAGTGAATCTCTCTAGCCTGGCACTCTCTGTTCTGGCAACATCGGTGGTCCTGCATGATTTTAGTTAGCTGGATGGCCACTTATCAAGGGTGTGGCCAAGTTTCCTATGATCCCATGAAGTTTGTTTACAGCCACCAGTCCTGGCTCTCAGTGTTCTGTGC